GGGTTTAAAAAAAAAAATTTTTTTTTTTTTCCGGCGAAAACCAAAAAAAAAAAAAAAAATAAAAAAAAATAATAAAGGTGATTACCCATTACCCATTTAAATAATAGGGGGGGGAAAAAAAAACGGAATTTTAAAAAAAGATTTTTTTTATGGAGGGGGGTTTTGTTTTATGTGGGGGAAAGATTTGGGTTTTATTATTTTTATTACCCCCAATTTCCCTTAGAGGAGGGAAAATAATTTAAAAAAAAAAAGAAATTTTTTAAAAAAGGAAATTTTTTTTATTTAAATTTTTGGGGAAAAGGAAATCCAACAAACCCCCCCCCCCATAAGCCCAAACCCCATTTTTCCCCCCCCTTAGGGCAAAAAATTTAATAAATTAAAAAGATAGTTTATATAAATTATTTTGGTCCAAAAGGGACCCCCACCCCATTTGGGGAAATTTTAGTACTAAAAAAAAATAAAATTATAAAAAAAATAAAAATAAAAAATCAATTAAAAAAAAAAAAAAAAAAAAAAAAAGATTTTATATAAATAAATATTATAATTAATATATAAATATATATTAATTTTATTAAATATCTATTGTGATGTTGTTTATAATAGAAATTCTAATCTTTTCCTTGTAATCTTATTATTTTAAATTTTATAATATATTATAAAAATGAACCCTGTTAAGAGGGAGGAGGATTAAAAATTATTATTGTTATTATATGTGCATCTGCTTGATAACATTATATAAAGTAAAAATATTGATTAAAAGGATTATATTAGACCTTTTTTTTTATGTTTGCACATTAAAATTAATATTGATTTTTTAAATTATAATGTACTTATTTATATAAAAAAAAATCAATATTTTATTTTTAAACTAAATAAACCACAAATATCTAATAGTAACACACATACTAAACACCACAGATAATTTTTTATGTATCATTATTCTTTGTTACACAAAATAAACTAAAAACCACACCCCACCACACAAACAACCACATTCTCACTCTCTTGATTTATAAAATGTAATTTACATTCCATCACACTATTATAAATAGTTATATTTAAACAATTTATATTTATATGGAAATAATTTTATTATTTTACCCCAAAATATATTTTTTAATATATTATTTTAATATCAATAACCATAAAGTTTATATGGAGGTATAGAGTTTTTTTGCGAAATTTTAATCTTTTAATAATTTATTTATCTATTCATAATTTCGATAATTTGTATATGTCATCTAATAAATAAAAGGATATTGCCATATATCATATGATTTATTATTATTGTTTTTACTGTTATTTATATTCCCACATCATTTTTTTATGTTAAAATATTTAATAAATAATCAACGCTTCTGAAAAAAATAAAATAATAAAATAAAATAATATAAAATAAAATAAAATAAAATAAAATAAAAAAAACAAAACAAAACAAAACAAAGAAAACAAAACAAAACAAAACTCAATTCAATTCAATTCATCCTTATTATATATCTCAATATAAAATGAATTTTACAAATTTTAACATCTTTAGACATATTTTTATAAATCTAATATAAAAATAATAATTTTGCTTTTAATTTTTTTTAAATATAATATAAAGAATTAAAGTATTTTAAAATCTATTTTTAAAAAAAACATTATATTTAATTGTATGTGTGTGAGTGGGTGTTTTTTTATTTTTTTATTTTTTTTTTTTAATAATTTAATTTATTTTTTTATTTTTTTATTTTTTTTTTATTTTTATTATTATTTATTTTTATGTGTGAATTTATTTTTACATATGTCATGTACTGTTAAATATAAATATTTATTTATGATTATTTAAACAATAGTATACGAATCTTTAAAGTATTCTGTTATTATTAAATTAATAAAAAATTGTGTGTTGTTGGGAGTAGATTTTTAAATAGTAATAATAGTTATATTTATAGAACAACTGTTTGTGGTTTGTGTAGAATATTATAATAAAACACTATATTCTCAATAACAAAGGAATTGTTTAATTATAAATCTCTATTTTTTTGATATCACCTTTTATTTATTGACACATTAACCAAATTACACTCATCCACATACTTTATCTTTATTTAATTCCAGAATTCTTTTGTTTTATATACATTTATAACAATTATCTTATAAAAGTTCAAAAAATTAAAATAAATAATAGCATTTTAATATACAATTACACTATCTATATTTATCATCCACCAAAAAAAAAACTCCACTGTTTTTATACATTCGAAATGATGATGTTAAAAAATCATTTATTTTTAATTATAACTATGGGGTTCTTCCTTCTAGTAGTTAATTGTTCAAACAATATTATAAGTAATAATAATAACAATAAAAAAATAAAAAATACACATCATAATAGTAAAATAATATACGATAATAAAAATAATGTAAATTTTAAATTCAATAAAATATCAAATAATATTAATAAAAATAAGCAACAATATAGCGGCAATCATAATTTAATTAATATAAATAAAAATAACAAAGAAGATTATGACTATTTAAATTATAAATATGATGTTTCTAATAGTGATATTTCAGAAAATAATCTTGATAATCTATATGATAATCTAGATTTAGAATCAGAAGATTATATACAAATAAAAGATAAGCAAAATAGTAATAATTTAAATTATAATAATAATAATAAAAAGTCAAATTTAAAATTTAATAAAAATAATAAATTTAAAATTATTCAGTTTACAGATTTACATTATGGAGAAGGAGAAAATCTATCATGGGGTCCAGAACAGGATATTAACAGTTCACGTGTAATGAATACTATATTAGACAAAGAGAAACAAGTTGATTTAGTAATATTTACTGGCGATTTAATAACTGGGAATAACATTATAGACAATGCCACTTTATATTGGGAAAAGGCTATTGGTGTAGTTAAACAAAGAAATATTCCTTGGGCAATTGCATTTGGTAATCATGATGACTTGGCTTCTGGAACCAATGGTAGTAGAGAAGATTTAATGGCATTCGATATTTCACTCGGCAGTTACTCTCAATTTGGACCTTCTCAAATCCCAGGTGTTTCAAATTATTATTTACAAATATTTGATAAAGATGATAAGTATCCAATTTCAATGGTATGGGTTCTTGATAGTGGTGATGTAGATAATAGATGTGGTCATTCAAGTAGACTACTTAGAGAGCAGAGTAGGGGTCCATCAGATTATCAATGTAATACATATATCACTAAAGAACAAGTTCAATGGTATTCAAACACAACAAAGTATTTGAAGCAATCAAGCTTATTCGATCACATTTTATGGTCGGGTGCCTTCTTTCATATTCCATTACAGGAATATATGCTTTTATGGAACTATGATACTTGTCATGGTTATAATAATGACTCGATTGCCTGCCAACCTAAAAATGAAGGACTACTGGAAGAATTTGTAAATAATGGGGATATAAGTTTTATATCAGTTGGACATAATCATGGAAATGACTTTTGTGGTACTCTTGATTCAGTTAAGATGTGTTATGGTCGACACAGTGGATATGGTGGGTATGGGACATGGGAAAGAGGTGCTAGGGTTATTGAACTGTCCCTTAGTAGTCAATCAGAAACACCAAAAGTTCATTTTAACACCTGGATTACTTTCGAAACAGGCCAACAAGTATTTAATCAATTGCAACATCGTCCTAATTCTACAGGAATCCCACAAACAAAATGCACATAAAAATAAAATACTATCTAAAAATTTTAACAACCATAATAATGATAATTTTAATATTAAATTATGTTGTTATTGATATTTATGAGACTTTTATCACTGTATTGTTACTATATTTTAGATATAAGGCATATTAAAAAATAAAACTATATAAATAATATTTTCATTGGCACATATTATAATTTAATTAAAACGGACAAGGTTTTTAAAAAAAAATTATTTAATTTAAATTTTTTTATTTTTTAATAATTAGCTATTTTTATTTTTTTTATTATTTATTTGATTGATTGATTGATGTTCAATTTTTTTTTATAATTAAACTTGTTAGATCCCATAATTTTTTTTTAAAAAAAAAAAGTAATATCCAAAAATATAAATACAATAACTAATAATTTTCAGAGGATTTTTCTTTCTCCAATATTTTTTGCAGCAAGAAAAATAAAAAATTTCCCACTACCAAGCCCTTTAAAAAGAGATCTGACAAAAAGATATTTGTTATTTTTATTTTGTTTTATTTTTAATATTTATTTATATATCAAAATTTAAAATAGTTTTATAAAATAATAAAAAAATAAAAAAAAAAAAAAAAAAAAATAAATATCTCTTTCTGAAAAAGTGAAAGAAAAATAAAAAATGTAATGGTTGACTTGTGTGAAGGCTTAACCAGTTTTTTTTTATATGAGGTTTTCAGTTAGGCCCCAATAAAAAATTATTATTTTATTTTATTTTATTTTTTTTAAATTTTATTTTATTTTTTTTTCAAAAATTTTATTTTTATAAAAAACTATATAAATTTTTTTTTTCTTTTTTTTTTTTTTTGAATATAAAATATTACAAATATATACATACATACATAAAATGAATAAATTAATTATTGCTATTATCTTTTGTTTAGCTTTATTCTCATCAGCTTTTGCTGATATTTGGAGCAATTGCGGTACTTCAGCTGATTTACTTCAAATTGATACTGTCGATATCACTCCAAACCCACCACAAAAAGGTCAAGATTTAACTGTTTCAGCTTCAGGTTACCTTTCACAAACTGTTCAAGATGGTACTGCTAATATCATCGTTAAATACGGTTTCATCACCCTCTACAAAGGCTCACAAGATATCTGTACACCAAAAGACCCAATTGCATGTCCAATCCAAGCTGGTCAATACAACAAAACCGTTTCAGCCACCATTCCATCAGCTGCCCCATCTGGTAAATACACTGGTTCAGTCACCTTAGTTTCAAACACTGGTGCCCAAATCGCCTGTATTGATGTTAACTTTACTCTTTAAATAAACACCGCCTTTAAAAAATATTAAAAGCATTTTTTTTATGCTTTAAAAAATAAACCGAAATAAATATTTATAAACAAAATTAAAATTCTATTATAAAAAATACCCTTTTTTTTTTATATTTATCTGTAGTTACTTCAGTTATTAAGGGAGCCATTAATTAAATATTAATAATTATTTATTACTTATTACTTATTACTTATTACTCATTATTTATTATTTATTATTTATTATATAGCAATTTCTAAAATAATAAAATAGTTTTTTTTTTTTTTTTTTATACCAAAAAATTAATAAATTTAAAAAAAATTTAATTAAAATAAATTCTTTCTTATTTTAATGAGTTTACAATCCCTCTTGATAAAACAATAAAAACTTTTTTTTTTTTTTTTTTTTTTTTTTTGGAAAATATTTTTATTTAAAAAATTATTATTTTTAGAAATAATTATTTTATTCTTCAAGATTAATAGATTTTGTTTTTTTTTTTTTTTAAATTATATTTGTTCATATTGTTAATTATTATAATTTAATTTCTTTTTTAGTCTATCAAAATTAAATTGTTTAAATTTTACCCCTTTTGAGTTATAAAAAAAGAAATGATAAAAAAAAAAAACACAAATTAATGTATAGAATAATATATATAATTATTTGTTTTTTTTTCTCCCTAACCCCACACACTTATTTATTTTTTTTTAAATTAATTTTTTTTATTTTTTTTTATTATTATCTTTTCATTTTATTAATTTTTTTTTTTTTAATCATAAAATTATTTATTAAAACATAAAAAAAATATTAATTATAATTATTGAATATATAAATTCATAAATACATAAATACATTAATACATAAATAATAAAATGAAGTTATTAATTTTTAGTATATTATTAATCAGTATTCTTGCATATATTACACCAACTTTATCAATTTCACCATCAATGATGGGCAAAAATAATTTTGGTGAAATTTGGACAAGTTGTGGAACTGATAATGATCATTTTAAAATTTCAAGTGTAACTATTAAACCTGATCCACCAGTTAAAAACTCTGCTGTAACTGTATGTATTGAAATATAAATTAAATAAATAAATAAAAAAAAGGTCCTAATTATTACATTTTTATATATAAATTAGATTGTAGCATCAGGCATATTGGATGAAGATATTACCGGTGGTGAAATTCATGTTGTTGTAAAATTCGGATTCATAACATTATTTAAAAAAATAGAAAATATTTGTGACCCATCCATCCCAGTTGGATGCCCAATCAAAGCAGGACCTTATAATCGTACTGTTACTACACCAGTTATTCCACAACAATCTCCAGTAGGTAAATATGATGGGAATATAGTTGTTTATGATTCAAATAATCAAGAGGTAGCCTGTGTTAATGTAGCTTTCACCCTTCATTAATAATATAAAATTTAAATAAATAAATACACACATTATTATACGCGGGATTTTTTTTTTTTATTTTTTAGTTTATTATTTTAAATACCATATATTTTATTTGTATTTAATCTACATTGTTTTAAAACTTGTTCCAATGGAATATTTTTAATTTGGGCAATAGAATTTGCAACTAATGGAATATGGCCGGAATGGGCAATTTTACCACGATAAGGTTCTGGAGTCATGTATGGTCCATCAGTTTCTAAAAGAATACGTTCAATTGGTACAGCTTCAACCGAGTCTCTAATTGATTGTGAATTTTTAAAAGTGATACAACCAGTAAAACCAATACAAAGATTTGGGAAGTACTCCAAAAGAGATTTTGCAAAGTCAGGTGATGAGGTGAAACAATGAATATGAATTCTATGGTCTTTTGGTACAGTTTCTTTAAGGATACGAAGTGTATCTTCTTCAGCTTCACGAGAATGAATAACTAATGGCTTGCCTAATTCGACTGCCTTTTTACATTGACGTGCGAATGCTGTTTGTTGTTCTTCTACAGTTGATTTATTATAGAAATAATCTAAACCCATTTCACCCCATGCCAATACTTTTGGATTGCTCATTCTTTCAACCAACTTACTTTCTACTTGGTCGGTATATTCGTTTGCATTGTGTGGATGCACACCGTAAGCTGCATATATAGTATCGAATTTACTAATTAAGAAATCGGTATATTCTATCGATACTGGATCACAGCAAACTTGAATTAATGCTTCAAATTGTTTTGGGAAATGTTCTTGTTTAAATGAATCAAAGTCTTCTAATGTTTTATTTGATCTAATTAAAAATTGGTCCTATTTATAAAAATAAAAAAATAAAAAAATAAAAAAATAAAAAAATAAAAACTTTATTAGTATTTATTTATTTTAATACTAATAGTCACAATAAAAGAATACTTACAACATGTACATGGGAATCAATATATTTGGCATCATCTGGCATTACTACGGTTTTTGGGGTTTGTAATTTTGGTTTACTGGGATCTATTGGTTTAGATTTAGATTTTGGTGAAGGGTCACAACATCCATTATTGTTATTCTTTTTGTTATTGTTGTTGTTTTTATTACCATTATTATTATTATTACCACTATTGGTGTTGCTATTGCTTGTACTCATTTTTCTGGTAAAGTTATTGTAATCGGTGGAAATAATGTTATTATTATAATTATTATTAAAATAAAATGAAGCTTTAGTATTACTATTTTTACTATTTTTACAATAAAATTTTAAAATATAATTATAATTATTGAATTTTATATTTTGATTTAAAAGTATATTTTTAATCATTAAATTTATAATTAATTTAATAATAAATATATAAAAGAAAATTAATAGAAATGAACACTCGTTGTTTATTTTTTTTTTTTTAAATTTTTATTATTTTTTTATTAATTTTTTTTTAAATTTTTTTCAAAATTTTTTTTTTTTTTCATTAATATTTTTAACATTTAGATTTTTTTTATAGAAAAAAAGAATTAAACTATAAAAGTTTATTTTTTCTTTATATATAAATAAAAATGGAAGAAGGTAAAAATAAAGATTAAATTTAGAATGTTTTAAGAAAAAAAAAAAAAAAAGAAAAAAAAAAAAAACAAATTAAAAGAAAAAATAAAAATAAAAATAAAAATAGAAATTTACAAAACACAATCTTAATCTTTCAAATAGATTTCATAGTTTTGTTTTTTCAATTTTAATTACAATATTTTATATTATATTTTGTTTAATATTTAAGATCAAATTTAAAAAATGAAAAATTATTAACATTACGGTTTTTTTTTTTTTTGAATATAGTTCCACAAAAAATCAATTTTTCAGAAGAAGAATTAAAAACATTAAAATATTGGGATGATATCAAAGCATTCGAAACATCAGTTAAATTAAGTGAAGGTAGACCAGAATATTCATTTTATGATGGTCCACCATTTGCCACTGGTTTACCACATTACGGTCATTTATTAACAGGTACAATCAAAGATACAATTACAAGATATGCACATCAAACTGGTCACCATGTTGAAAGACGTTTTGGTTGGGATTGTCATGGTTTACCAATCGAATTCGAAATCGATAAACTTTTAGGTGTTAAAACCAAAGAAGATGTTTTAAAGATGGGTATCCCAGCTTATAATGCCCATTGTCGTTCAATTGTTATGAAATATTCAACTGAATGGGAAGTCGTTGTAAACCGTATTGGTCGTTGGATTGATATGAAGAACAATTATAAAACTATGGATCCCAATTTTATGGAATCTGTTTGGTGGGTTTTCAAAGAACTCTTCAAGAAAGATCTCGTTTATCAAGGTTTCAAGGTTATGCCATACTCTATTGGTTGTACTACTCCATTATCAAATTTTGAAGCTTCAAGTAACTACAAAGATGTTTCAGATCCAGCTTGTGTTGTTTCTTTCCCAATGGTTGATGATGAAAAAGTTTCATTTTTAGCTTGGACCACTACTCCATGGACTTTACCATCCAATTTAGCTCTTACAGTCAACCCAAAGATGGAATACGTCAAAATCAATGATACCAAACGTAACGCTCAATTCATTTTAGGTAAAAATCGTACTTCAATTCTCTACAAGAGCGATAAAGAATTTACTGTTTTAGAAAGCTACACTGGTAAGGATTTAATTGGTAAGAAATATGTCCCAATTTTCCCATACTTTGCCTCAGACGCCGAAAAGGGTGGCTTTGTTGTTATTGGTGCCGATTTCGTTACAGATGACAGTGGTACTGGTATTGTTCATACTGCTCCAGCTTTTGGTGAAGACGATTTCCACGCTTGTTTATCAAATGGTATCATTAAAAGAGATGAATTCAGACGTCCAATTTTAAATTCAGTTGATGCCAATGGTTGTTTCACCTCCGATATCACTGATTTTGTTGGTATGATGGTCAAAGATGCAGAAACTACCAAACAACTTTCAATCTACATCAAAGGTAAAAACCGTATGGTTAATAGTGCAAACATTGTTCACTCTTATCCATATTGTTGGAGATCCGATACTCCATTAATTTATAAAGCTGTTGGCAGTTGGTTTGTTCGTGTTGAATCAATCCGTGATAAACTTTTAGCAAACAATCAAAAGACATATTGGGTTCCAGATTTTGTTAAAGAAAAGAGATTTGCCAATTGGTTAAGCAATGCTACTGATTGGGCTGTTTCAAGAAACCGTTATTGGGGTACTCCAATCCCATTATGGGTTAGTGAAGATGGTCAAGAAGTTGTAGCAATTGGTTCAATTGAAGAACTTTTCGAACTTTCCGGTGTACGTGTAACTGATCTCCATCGTGAATCAATCGATCACATTACCATTCCATCAAAACAAGGTAAAGGTACTCTCCGTCGTATTGAAGATGTATTTGATTGTTGGTTTGAATCTGGTTCTATGCCATATGCTCAACAACATTATCCATTCGAAAATAAAGATAAATTCGAAAAGATTTTCCCAGCCCACTTCATTGCCGAAGGTCTTGATCAAACTAGAGGTTGGTTCTATACCCTCTTAGTTTTATCAACTGCTCTCTTTGATAAACCACCATTCCAAAATCTTATTGTAAATGGTTTAGTTTTAGCAAGTGATGGTAAAAAGATGTCCAAACGTTTAAAGAATTATCCAGATCCAATGGAAGTCGTTTCTAAATATGGTGCTGATTCTCTTCGTCTTTACCTTATCAATTCACCAGTCGTCAAAGCTGAACCATTAAAATTCCAAGAGAAAGGTGTTCAAGATATGATCAAGGATGTTTTCTTACCATGGTTTAATGCTTACCGTTTCTTTGTTCAAAATGCTCTTCGTTTCGAAAAATCCCAAAACACTAAATTCGTTCCAGATATTAATGTTGCCCTTAAATCAGAAAACGTTATGGATAAATGGGTTTTAGCTAGTTGCCAATCTTTAATTAAATTTGTTCGTGTTGAAATGGCTGCCTATCGTCTTTACACTGTCGTTCCAAAACTTGTTCGTTTCATCGAAGATTTAACCAACTGGTATGTTCGTTTAAATCGTAAGAGATTCAAGGGTTCAAACGGTGATGCTGATTGTTTATCCTCACTCAATATTCTCTATGAAGTTTTAATGACTGTTACCATTGCCATGGGTCCATTCACTCCATTCTTTACTGAATTCATCTACCAAAACCTCAAGAAAGTTCTTCCAAAGGAAAAACAAATGGATTCTGTTCATTATGTCCTCTTCCCAGAACCAATTGAAGCTGCTTTCAATACTAGAATCGAAGAAGCTGTTTCACGTATGCAAACTGTCATTGAATTAGGTCGTGCTGCTAGAGATCGTAGAACCAAACCAATCAAACATCCACTTAAAGATTTTATGGTTATCACCGAAAATAAACAATATCTTGACGATCTTGAATCACTCAAATCATACATCCTTGAAGAACTTAACATTCAAAATGTTGTTTTAACCAGTGATGAAGGTTCATTTGTCGTTGTTACTGCTGAAGCTGATAACAAACGTTTAGGTGCTCGTTTAAAGACTGATTTCAAGAAAGTATCACCACAAATCTCCAAATTAACCAATGAACAACTCCGTGCTTTCCAAAAGACTGGTGAAATTACAATTGAAGGTCACGTACTCACCACTGAAGATTTAAAGATCATTCGTAAATATTCAGGTGATACCACTAACAATGAACCATCAGGTAACGATGAAATTTTAACAGTTTTAGAACTCACCGTTGACAAAGAACTTTTCGAAAGAGGTTTAGCTCGTGAAGTTATCAATCGTGTTCAAAGACTTAGAAAGAAGAGTGGTCTCAACTTTGATGATAACATCCAAATGTTCTACTCTACCAAAGATCAAGAATTAAAACAAGCTGTCGAAAATAATCAAGCTTTTATCAAAGAAATCATTTTATTCCCAGTCCAATTCTCCGAGACAGTCCCATCAGGTTCATTTGCTTCCGAAAAAGTTTCAATTGTTAACGATAACGATGCTGAAATTTATTTAACTCATTAAATTAATCACAATCCCTCAGAATTTAAATAATATAATATAATAAACACTTTTTTTTAAAAAATAATATAAATATTTTATTTTATAAAAAAAAAAAATTAAAATAAGTTTTTTATACAATAAAGAAATAAAAAAATATAATTTATATTTTTTTAAATATATTTTATTTATTAAACTTCGTTATTTGTTGCTGCAGCAGTTAAAGTTGTTGTTGAAGATTCTAAATTTCTATTTTGAGATTCATTTAAAGGGTTCATTTCGATGCTATTTGAGCTTTCGGAGCTTGAAATAGATTTTTTGGCTGTTATAGAAACTCCTCTTGATTTTCTAAAAGACTTTCTATTATTATTATTATTATTATTATTATTATTATTATTATTAGAACCTGAGGAATCAGAGGTTGTATTTGTGTTTGAATTTGGAGCTGATGGTATTTGACCTCCCCATTTGATACCAAAGAGATTTAAAAATCTCTTTAATCTTGATGATTCCCTATAAATTTGGAGCACTAAAGGATCAATAGTAAAGAAGAACAATAAAACACCAATAATAGCCATAGTGAAGAAATTTAAGTATCTTAAACCATAACCTTTAAATTGAATATGTCCACATGTATCTCCACCACCTTGCATAATACACATAACCCAAACCGCAATTGCTTCGATATATTCCTCATCATTATAAGTTGTATATAATGGATAGAAAGAGGTGAATACTACACAGAATAAAATTAAAAATAAAAATACAATGGATCTTAACTAAATATAAAAATTAAATAAAAAAAAAGTTAAAATAATTTTTAAATCTGGATTTTTTAAAAGTTTAATACTTACATTTAAAAGTAAGATTCTTCTGTCATTCAAAGATTTGAATAATATTGTCATTTTAAATAATCTGTATGTTGAAAATGAAATGAAAATTACCATTAAAAGAGTTGAAAAATAAGCCGGAGCATAAAAACAAAAATATTGATAAAACATTTTTGTACCAGACCCAATCCAGCAACCACTTGAAACAACTGAAGATGAAAATTGCTTCATTGGTAGTAATGACATAAAAATAATAAATATCCACATTCCTATTGATGTATGAATAAAATATTTGTTTTTTTCTAAAATTTATTATATTAAAATGTTAATAGTTGAATTTAATAAATTAGTTATAACTATATTACCTACTCATATTCATAGTTAAAAAGAAATCGAAACTATATAGTGTTAAAAACATAATTGTACCTAAACCCCCAACATTAAAAAAGAAACCCATTAATTGGCATGTACTGTCCGTATGATCTTTATATCTTCCAGGATCGTCAGTGCATCTCCAATCTGTTCTATGTGTTTTGTAGTAAAGATTGGCTTCTTGAATAGCATAGCTTGCACATAATGATAAATTTGTGATACAAATATAAACAATAATAAGCCATCTATGATTTGTTTTGTTTGGTAAAACACCAAAAGTTATGAGTAAAAATACACTCATAAATGCAGAAAAACTAAAGCAAATAACTTCTGTTAAAAACTTATTATTTTGTTGCTTATCGGTGTAAACTTGAACGGGGCATGGTAACACACAATTTTGATATACAGGATAGGTGTTTGAGTTTTCAATAGTTGCATATGGGAGCTGGATTAAAGGATGTGGACATTCAAAGGCAATGGTTTTTGCTTCCCCGTTTACACATTGAACTGATTCGTTATTTGTTCCACCAAATTCTGTAAGATTATAATATGTGGATGTTTCAGGGAATTGTGGTAGATTTAACTCTTGATCATTTAAATCGCATGAGAACCCACTTGGATATGCTATTTCTATTACAGCTGGTGGACACGAGGCCAATACATTCCCACATACACTATGGCAGGGTCTCGATGGAACTGGAATACTAACTGATTGTATTTCATTACATTTTTGATATGTCTAAAATATAAAAAAAATAAAAATTAATTTTCATAATTTTTTTGCATAATTCTAATTAATCTTACCGATAAACAAAATATGAGAGTTGCATTTGCTTTACATTGATTTAAAACTGAAGGAATTTGTCCTAATTGACCAAATGCAAGTGTAGCTGTTATATTTAATATTGCTTGGTTATATGTTGCATTAACATATATAGCATCATAGTTTAAATATGGGGCACATGGTGAAGAGGGATCAATAGGTTCGCAGGTAGCATTATCAATTAATGCATCAATAAAAATAATTTGTGGTAATAATACACAAAAAATAAAAATAAAAAAATTTAATTTCATTTTTATTTTTGGAGGGGAAAATCATATAAATAAAAAAATTGATTTTAAAGTATAACTTTTTTAAAGCATATATTTCTTTGATAAATAATTAATACGAAAGTTTACAATCATTTAAAAAAAATTTAAAAATAAAAAAATTATTATTAAATTAATTCAAAAAAAAAAATATAAATTTTTTTTTATCACCTTATTCATTTGCACAATCTAATTTTTTTCCGCATGATTCATCCGCCAATCTCCAACTAATTTTTACAAAAATAAAAAAAAAATAAAATTTTTTTTTGGAATCCTCGCAACTCACTAATCAAAATATCTTAATTATTTTTTTTCCTGCAAGTGAATAATTTATTAATTTATTATTAGAAATTCATCTTAACACTATTAGAAAAATAAAAAATCGCATCTTTTTTATTTGGGAAAGATTCGTGATCACCCATAAAAATCTATTTATATATTTTTTATAAAACATTTATTTTTTTAAGTTATCAAAAAAACAAATAAAAAATTTTTTATTTTATTATTTAATAAAAAATGAATAAAATATGTACTAAAAAAAATTATTAATATTAAAAAAAAGAAAAATAATTTTAGAAGGTAAAAAAATATATACAATTTTATTTATTAATTAAATTTAAACAATCATAGATTGAATCCACAATTGATAAAGGATTTTCTAATGGGATAAAATGATTAGAGTTAGTTGCAAAGTTTTGTTTTGAATTGCTGGAATAGTTTGTAATATTTGATTGCATTTGAACCCAATCAGGAGTGCCATTATCAATGGCAGTTAAAACAACTAGTGGGGTATTACCCAAATATTGAGTATCTGAATATTGATTTGAATGATTTATAATAATTGAATTTTGTTGTGAAATAGTATCCATTATAATGGATAATTCATTTGCAGATGCATCTATATTTGAATAAGTTAAATAAATTGAATCAGTTGAGCTCTTTAGTGTTCTATTTAAAACTACAGTTGAGTTTTGTTTTTTATTTTCAAAATAACCACTTTCTAGAGGATAGAATGGAGTTAAAAATCTAGTTATACCTGTTGGTAATAGGTATTTTAATACTGTGAAGCTCTGAAAAGAAACAAATTTATTAATTAGTATTAAAATAATTTGAATAAAAAAACAAAAAAAAATTTTATACTTACAGTAATACCTTGGCTAATACCTGATATTAAATATGTATCACTTAAATCTTCTATGACCATAGAATCTACTAAAACCAAACCTTGAACAAGATCTGGATGTTGATATGCGAATAGCTGTGTTAATGTGCCACCATAACTCCAACCTACTAATAATAAATTATGGTTGATACCAATTTGACTTAGGTATTGCTTTAAATCGTTTACAGCAGTCACACCATCAACTCCTCTATTAACTTTAAGGTCACTCCAGCCATATCCATATCTATCATAAATGCAAAACTGTTTAATTGTGTTTTGATGTTGTGATAAAGCACTTGATTTTAATAAACTAACTACATTTCCCCAAACAGTTGAGTAAAATGGAGTGCCGGCTTCAAAGAGTATTGTTATGTTTCCATTAAAGTTACCATTGCTATTATCGTTGAAGCATCTTATATGAAGTGATGTGCCATTAATAGTTGGGAAATAGCTTGTACCACCAAAGTGTGATGAATATGTTAAATTTGGGTCACTTGTTATTCTTCTATTATATATTATTGTTGAAACGTCAACTAAAGAAATTATTCCTAACAAAAATAAAAATATTTTTTTAATTCTATGACCACCATTACTTTTTTTACTCTTTGCATGATAATAAATAAATAATGATAATATAATAAAAAAATATGAAATAGTTGGTAAATTTAAATATATTTGATTTTTCATTTTATATATATACACATATATATATAAATATATTATATATATATTATATTATAATACTATACTATGTATTTATGATTGTTTATATGTGGGTATTATTATTACATAATAATAATAATTTAAAAAAATATTTTAAAAAAAAAATAAAAAATTTTAAAATTTAAAATTTTATTTTAATTTTTTTTTTGAAAAAATAAAAAAAGATAAAAAAGTCCACATTTTAATTATTCAATTTATAAGTAATAATATTTTAGAAATTTCAATAGATATTTTATTTTTTTTATAATTTATAATTTATAAGTTATATATTTTCCTTTTTTCTCAATTTACTTATACAGTTAAATTTTTTTATTTATTTCTAAAATATTGGTATTGTTTTAATTTGTGTAGTTTAATTTAAAGATTTAATAACTAACTGTAAATTGTAAAATGAATTAGTTTAATTAACCTTAAATTAATAGATAGTTAACAGTTTTTTTTAGGATTAACAGTTTTAATTTGTATTCTTAAAATAAAATTTTTTTTAAATTTTATTTTATTTTTTTTTTTTAATTAAAATTTTATATATTTAAACAGATAAAAAATTTAATAATAATCATTTCTCCTTTATCATTTATTGTTTATTAATAAAGGTAAGTTTATTAATTAATTTATATAACTTTGTTATAGTGGTATTAATTTTTTTTTATTTTTTTTTAAATTTAGAAAAAGATGAATGTAAAAAAATTACTTTTATCAATTTTAATTTTTTATTTGGTGACAATTAATATTGGGGTAGAGTCATTAAAATGTGGAAAAGGGGCACAGAATCCAAACGGGCAACAAAACAATTTGGAGTTTTATGTAAATGGTATTAGAAAAGCACAATACAAAGGACTTGCTTGTAGATTTATGAATAATGGTGTATTACAAATTACCGCTGGATCAACATTTAATGTAAATGACAATTCAATGCTTGGAAAGTGGGTAGATGGAGAAGTTAGATATTTAAATACTAATAAGAAAGACCCTAAAGCTCGTTTCTTTTTTACAAAGAATAAGAAAACAGTATGGATCAAAGAACGTGAAGATAAACCAACACCAAAACCAGCAACCAAGTTTGAATGCCCTCCAGAATCCAAAGGTAAAAAACCACAAGAAGTTGATATTCTAGTATTATCATATGGCTATGGTGGTGCTGTAGCAGAATATCAGGGATTGGCATGTTTGGCTAATGATCAAACTACCGGTGATGAATATTGGGTATTCAAAGATACAATGACAGTCTATGGCCCTGATTATAAAGATCGTTGGTTCAATGGAGATGTCTGGTATAATCATATAAAGCCAACCAAAAAAATTGAAGGTATTCAGCTTTTTGTTTCAAATGATAAAAAAACATTAAAAAAAAGATAATAAAAAACAATTTTTATTTACATTATTTTTAAAAAAAAATTTTAATTATTTTTATTTACAATTTTAAACTACTATATATTTCTTTAGAATCTGATTTGCTAAATTAACATTACCCCTCGTTTTATAAATCAACGATAGATTAAAAGCAGCTTCGCATTTTAGTGATTGATCTTTATCCTCTTCATCATCTTTGCCATTTGAATCTAAAACTTTATTATAAAAGCTAATGGCCATATTATAAATACCCAATTGGTGAAAAGCTCTTGCTATGTTATAATCTGTTTCTTGACCTTCACCTCTTAAGCTAAAATTAAATAAATAATTAGTAAATATAGATTTAAAGAAAAAACAAAAAAATAAACATACTTTGCATATTTAAAAATAAAAGAATAAGCTATAATTGTCATTTTATGTCTATTTGCTTGTTTTCTACCCATTACTTGAGATAAAATTAAAACACCAATTAATAAATTAATTAATGGATCGTCTGGAGAAATTCTATAGGCTTTGATATATTCGAATAATGCACCTCGAACATTATCGGTTTGTTTATTTTGATTACCAATCATTACTAATACAGGTAAGCTATTTGGATACTTTTCATAAATCTTTGCAAGGAATCTATTTTGAACTGTCGATCTGCCACCATAACTAAATTTTAATAAAATAAAAAAAAGAATTAATATTTTAAATAATCAATATAGATAATATATTATATTATACTTACTTTACAATAATTTTATTAAATAAATTCCAAACTTTGTTATCATAGGGTTTTTTCGAACAAACATATTTTACATATTTAAATGCAAGGTAATAATTTTTATCATTGAATGAAACACCCACAGCAATGAATTTTAGTTGATGAGTGAAAAGAGAATTTTCAAACTTTATATTTCTTAAGGCATATCTTAGATATTGACTAGCTTCCTGGTGTCTATTTAAATGTGATAATACTTTTGAAGTTTCAACAAGAAGACTAAAGTAATCTTCCTCATCCAATAGCTCCGCGAATGGGCTATTTGAGCTATTTGAATCTGCTCTTCTTCCTCTCTTGATTGAACGCCTTCTTTTTCTGTATAAACCAACTGAAATCTTTCTTCGTAAATAACATTTGTCATTTGATCCATGAAGTAATGCTGTTGCTATACCTAAAAATTGTGAGTATTTTGATAAATTTAGAAAAGCTTCAGCATGTCTAAAAGTAATTTTAACCTCATTTGGTGTAATTTTTTCCCTTTTTGATTCCAATTCTTTTAAAGTTGTCGCAAAGATTTCTTTTTCTGTTTGTTCATTTTTATCAGAGAACGAAGATGATTGGTTTAAGATTTGTAAAGCTTTTTCTTCATCACCCATTTCTTTGTAAATTTCACTCATTGCAATAGTTGTATTTACATTATCTGGTACTTGTTTATTTGCTTTTGAAAGGTATTCGATAGCAGCAGGAAGATTCTTTAGATATCTATAACATTCAGCAATTTTAACCCAGGTTGAAGCTTGGTCGTATATAGTATCTTTTAAACGTAAAAATGTTTGCAATGCTTCACTATATCTTCCCAATTGATAAAGTGATTCACCCATATCTGAAAATAAGTCACATACTTGTTGAGGGTCAATTGGTAAAAAACGTGAGTTCAATAGACGTGTACCTCTTTCTGTGCCACCTTCTGTTCCAATTGAAAAGTAAGCGACAATAACATTGGACAACATATCCACTGGAACATTATTTTCTGAACCAAACTTTACAGAGATTTTATTATAAGTTAAAATTGTATCGGTGAAGTTTCTTATTTTGTTGTAGAATTCCATCAATAAATTTACAGTATCTAAGGACACATATTCTAAAGGATTCTCTGGCAATAATTGTTCCTTAACCATTGGTTGAATTACCTCTACAGCATCATGATACTGGCCCAAATATGAATATACTTTAGCCAACTCTTCTAGAATTTGAGGGTTTTTTGGATCCATACTAACTAATTTGAGAAGACCTGGAATTGCTCTTTTGTAATCCTTCTTATTAATTAAAAGTTCACATCTTTCCCAGAGAGAATCTATATCACTTGAATCACACCTAAAGGCACGAGTAAAGCAATATAGAGCTGTGTCCAAGTTACCTAATGCCTTTGCTCTATGACCTGTGCTTACCCATAACTCGTTGTTATTACCTTCAATCTGTGCACCATAAATAAAAAAAGACAAGGCTTCTTTTGGATTACCTGTAATTTCTCTAATTTTACCTAAAATATTATATGGAAGTGATAGACGTGGAACCATTCTGATAACCTCTGCATAATGTGAAGTTGCTTCATTCCATTTTCCTCTTGTGTAAAAGTCATTAGCTTTAGTCAAAATTTCTCTAGCTTGTTTTGGTATTCTGAACTCTTTTTCTTTTTTTTTTTTTTTTTTTGGTTTTGTTGTTGTTGTTGTTGTTGTTTGGGTAGAGGTGGTTCCATCAGCATTGACTTCTTCGCTATTTCTTTTTTCTTCTTCTTCATTGTCAGTATCCATTTGATAGTCTTCCTCTTCACTCTCAAGGTCTTTCTTTTTTGATTTAGTTTTCTTTTTTTTGACAATATCAGTAAAATTTGATATATCAAATTGATCTTTAATATTTACAAACTTTTTATTTGATAACATTGATTGTTTTTTAGGTGTATCTGGTTTTTTTGGAGTTGTTGGGAATGCAATATTTACACTTTTCTTTTGAGTTTTTGATTTTTTGGATTCACCCTTTTCATCGTCACTCTCTTCAAAATCGCTGCTAGCTGTTTCGTATTCGCTATCATCGTCATCGTCATCATACCCTTCGCTACTGTCATAGTCTTCATCCTCTTCTAAATTATTATTAATATCATCTGCATTGAAATCTAATAGGTTTGGTAATGTTAGCCCCAAATCTGCAAAATCAGTTTCCATTTCATCTTCTAGAAATGAATCCATTTTTGAAACTTTATTATTATTATTATTTAGCTATACAATATTAATATTGTTTTATATATTATTTGTAAAAAAAGATAAAATATTATGTTTTATAGGTTTGAAATGAAATGAAAAAAAATAAATTAAATTTTTAAAAATTTTTTTTTTTTTTTATTTTTTTTATTTTTTTTATTTTTATTTTTTTTATTTTTGGAAATTTTATTATAAAATTTGTTAATTACCATTTTAATAAATTTGATTAGTTTAATTTGAATTTAGATTCACCAATTTCCATCATTAAAATTGTATTTGGGTTGATATTCCATTGACTACTTTTTATTAAATCATTTATAAAGAATTGATATTTTTCATCCACTTTTTCTTGTGAGATTTTAAAGATTTCTTCGCTTGATTTAGTTGGATTATTTAAAATTTCATTTCTAATTATATGGGAGTGGAAAAATGATTTTATGTAAATTAAATTTTGGTTATATTGGTCATTATAGTTATTAGATTGTTGACCTTCTAAATAGTAGACTGAGATTTGTTGTTCTTTTTGATTTTTTTTATCTAAAACTATAAAATATTCATTATTATTATTTGATTTACTAAAATTAATTGAATTTAATATTTCTTGAGGATTATTTAAAAACTCTTTATCATCACTTGATAAACCTAATTTAATATGTGGTTCTTTATTGTATTTTGAATCAAAAATGAATCTTAAATATAAAATAAAATTAGTAAAATTAATTATTATTTTTTTCTATTATTATTATTATTATCACACTTACTCTTCATTATTATTTACAATTTTTGAATTTAAAATTTCGGAATTTAATAACCAATTGTCAATTATAATGGATAATCTTTGTTTGTTTAATGATTTAAGATTAATGGATTTTACAGCTTTGTAACCTAAAAACATGTGAACGAATGATAACGAAAATACTATTGATATGCCCGAGAATGTACTACCTGATAATAACAATCCAAAAGTTGAACCAATACCCATACCCATCAAATATGCAGCCATACTCTGTGATTGATATTTAGCAGTAATATCACCAATATTGTCTTTAATTGAAAAACTTTTATTTAAACTTGCTCTTGTTGATCCATAAATCAAACCAGCAAGACCTTTTGATAAATTTGAAATAGATGCTAATGGTAAAAAATATCCTTGAATAAATGGTGTGCACATTTCCAACTATAATTAAATAAATAAAAATAAATAATTTAATATCAACTATAATAGTGTACACTTTAATAGTATTAAAAATATGGCACTATATTTAAATACTTACCAAAACACCTAAATTATGTAAGATATCGCCTCTAAATTTATATTTTTTTAAATCGAAATCTAAAAGTGTACTAAATTTATTTGCAAAAAATACTAGGGCGAATGCTCCTAAACCATCTTTTAATACCCATGAAATGGCTGCTGCAAAAGGTAATGCTGATGCTACACTCATACCTACTACTGTGGTTAATAGTGCATGGGTGCTAAGAACATATGTTACTGAACCAACTACATTTTGACAAAATAACCATTTATAATAGTGAATGTAATCGGGTGATACAGAGTTTGGATATCCTTTTGGTAAAAAATAGCTTTTAGCTTTATTTATAATACTAATACTATTGGCATTAATTAATGTTGTTGATGTTGATTCTGATGGTTTGATTAATGTAATTTGATTAATATTATTATTGTTATTATTAATTAAATATTGACTTTTAATTTCCCCATTTTTAAATTCGATTATCTTTTGATTTTTATCAGTGTTATTATTTATAGTTGAAAAATATTTAAATTTAGATAACTGTAATGATGATTGGAATAATGCTGTTGATTTTAATAACTTAATATTATTTTGGTTAACTTTATTTAATAATGTTATCATATTATTATTTTTAAATTAAAAAACTGAAAATAAAAAATGATTATTTTTACATAAAAAAAAAAAAAAATAAATTAAAAAAAAAAAATATAAATTAAAAAAAAAAAAAAAAAATAAAGATATTTTTATCAAAAAACAACATATGATGTTCATTGCTATTTTTTTCGCATTGACTCACTATGAACCAATTCTCAAAATATTTGAAAAAAAAAAATTTTATTATTTATTTAATTGTATTTATTTTTTAAAACAAATGAATCGTGAACTAAAAATCTATTATTGGTAACAAATTCAAATATAAGGTTGGTTTGGTTTGCATATAATCTTGTGTGACCAAAATCGACAGCTCTAAATATTGACCATTCTGGTTGATCTTGATGTCCAAATCCACCACTATTATCGGAAGAGTACCATGGATTTTCCCAAGTGTTACCAGCCATTCCTATAACAACATGTACTGTACCTTCATTATCATCGTCAGCACAGGTAAAATTTGATATGATACCACATGTACGTTCATATGTATGTAAATGGGCCCAAAGTGCCAAATTAACATCATATTCTTTAAAAAGAGGTTCTATTATTTCTTGAATCTTTGCAATTACACCGGAATCATCACTTTGAACACATGAGGTATACATTGGTCTATGTCCTGAAAATACTAACCATGGGGTCTTCTTTCTATCTATATTCTTTAAGTCATTTACTATCCATTCATATTGTTGTGATCCTTCTAAAAAGTCGTGTTCTGCTGACATTACTGTGAAATGAATTGGGCCATTATTGTATGAGTACCATAGATTTCGGGAGGTATCATCACCATTCATATGAAAACGTTTGTTATAGGGAACACCACATTCACCTCCTGAATCGGTTCCATAGTTTGACCATGATGGTAGAAATTCTTGACCTAGATAGTCATATTCATGATTACCAATTGAAACCATATATGGAACCTTTGATATAATTGGCTCCATTGAATCGAAATAGTAATCCCATATAAATGATACTCCCACTGCATATGAAATATCACCAATATGATGTATATTCCAAAAGGGTGGCAACGAGGGTGAAAGATTACCTCTTGATTTTGGTGAGCCCTTATAGTTACTAAAAAATGTTGATTTTTCGTATGGTGTATTAATTGTATTTAAAATTGATGCGATGGTTTGAGTTGCTGGTTTTTGTGCTAAAATTAAAGGTGAAAATATATTAAAGGGAAAATTGGTACCCAAATCCCCAAATGCCACTACAAAAGCTTCAGAATCTGATATATCATTATAAGATGGAGTTATAAAAGACTGTATTAAACTCCAACCATCATTATCACTACCAAATGAATAATAATAAACGGTATTTGGTAACAGATTCACCATTACTGTATTGTGAATGTAACCTGGGTTCTTAAAATAGTCTGTTGAATTTGCTGGATATGAACACATATCCATTATTGAATATGTTGAAGAGGTACCTTTGGCTTTTTCATATGTTTTTAAGTTTGAATCTATACCATACATTACTATTGGTGTATCATCTGTTCCACTAACCCACATTAATCTCATTTCACTTGAATTTTTGGTTATTGAAAGGTATGATTTACCTGGTTGGTTTGGGTTTTGAAAGCCTATAGGATTTGAAGTTGCAAATATATTTAATGAAATATTTGGGAAAATATTTAATATTGGTTCTGATGATTCTGAAGTTGGTACCCACAATCTAAATATATAATCTTCTCTAACATTTAACAATGGTAGTTTTAAATTACCATAACCCTCTTTCCAAGCTTAAAATGAATAAGTATTTTTTTTTTTTTTTTATATTAAATATTTTTTTTTAAATTTAAATTTAAATACTTTTAGATTGTGATAATTTAAGATAACCATTTGGGAAAAGAATTGAAGTATTTGAGGGTGAATAAATGGCAACTATATCATATGGAGTAGGACTTTTAATGCCACTCCATGAAATAGTAATTTCATCATTTGAATTTTTAATTGTTGTTGGGGAAATATCGACAAATGTTCCTTTTGAGAAAACTATAAAATATAAGACAAATAGTATTATTACAGAGTATTTCATTTTAATGAACAAAAATAAAATAAAAAAATATATAAAGGGTGTGTTAAATAAAAAAAATAAAAATTAAATTAAATAAAAAATTTATAATTAAATTTCAAAAAAATAGAAAAATTAAAAAAATTTTGTAAAACACAAGAAAAAAATCTCAACATATTTTACCCCCCTAAATCTTTTTTGTTTTTTTTTTTGTTTTTTTTTTTTGTTTTTTTTTTTTTTTAAATGAAAAAATTTTTAATTTCTAAAGCCATCAGTATTTTTATTTTTTAAATCAAGTATGAGTTTAAAAAAAAAGAATCGAATGCCATATAAGAAAATGAAAAATCATTAAGGCCATTGAAAGTGTAGATAAAATGACACAATTTTATATTTGAAAGAAAAATATTGTTAATCAAACACTAAACTGTAAGAAATGTACTTTTTGTTTCCTCGTCTATCCAAGTAGAATGATCCTTTCTGGTTATTAGCTTGACAACCTTCAAAATTGGGGGTGGAGTAGAATGAAACAATATGTTGTACAATAATCTGTTCTATATTTATACCTTTATTGATATTTATATCATACTTCTTTAATAATAAAATTACAATAACATAAATATAAACATATATTTTAAAATATATCAATCTTTTGTTATTTTTTTTTTAGTTTTTTTTTAAAAAAAAAACATCTAGGTGGGGGTAAATCTTTTAATTGTAAACTCACCAATAATTTATCTTTAAACAATAATAAAGGAAGAACAGTTTATAATATTAAAATTATTAATAAAATAATAATTAAAAAACATTTCAAAAATTTATTTTTTATTTTTTATCTATTTTGAATTTAAAATATTTTATTTATATTTTTTTTTTTAATATCTTAATAATTAAAGACCTATTCTTTTATAGTTAATTTTAAATAGATTTATTTCTACGAATAAATAACGGTTTGAAATTTTATTTTAATTATTTTTTTTTGGGGTGTGATCATTTAAACAATTATTTTAATGAAGATAAAAGAAAAAATAAAATCCAAATGGAATTTAGTTTTTGAAAAAAAAAAGATTAATTTTTTTTTTTTTTTTTACATTTTTTTTTATTTTTATGTGGTTGGTTCAAAACATTTTTTTTTTATTTTTTTTTTTTTTGATCTGCATGTTTTGAACCATCCACACAATAAAAAAATTTAAAATAAAGAAAAGAAACAAATAATGGTGTTTATTTTATATTTATATTGGCAGATTTTATTATAAAACGATTAATTTTTTTAAAAAATGGAGAATATTCATTTTAAAATGAATACTCTAACGAAGTGGGAAAGTTAAGATAACGATAATTAATAAATATTAGAGTTCTAAATTAAAGATAATCTTATGTCGTTCAATAATTATTGTTTAATTAAACATAAGCACAGGTATAAATATATATCATCTTTATAATAAAAAAAGCGAGTGATAATTAAAAAAATAAATAATTAAATGGGCAGAAAAGAAAAAATTATGATGTTTGTTCTGTTAGAATTATAACATCTAGATTTAGAAAATTTTTATCTTTAATTTATAAAAAAGATAGAACAGTTTAAAATTCAAAATATTTTTTTTTATTTTTTATTTTATTTCAATCTTTTTTAATTTTGTATTTTAAATAATTTCAATTATTTCTTTAAAATATCAAATAAAATTGTTTATTTATTATAAATGTCATCAAAATATGTTGTTCAAAATGGTGATGTTGCAGCTATTGGTATTGGATTTAGAGCACCAAGTGGTAGTTTAACAAAATCGATTTCAAATACAAATCAACTATGGGATAGCTTGGTTAATGGTTTCGATGGTATCGTAGAAACATCTGAAAGATGGTCTGATAACTATAGTATCACTGGTGATATCGTTTGCAAATATGCAGGTCTTATTCCACTTGAAGAATGGAAGTCTTTTGATCCAATTTTCTTTGGCATCAATCCAAGTGATGAACATGTCAATACAATCGATCCTCAACAAAGATTATTGTTAAAATGTACATGGGAAGCATTGGAAGATAGCGGTATTGATCCATCCACATTACGAGGCTCAAATACAAGTACATTTATTGGTTCATCAACTGTAGAATACGATTCTGCCAATAAATCACATTTTGAAACCCAAACAAACATTTTTGGTGCATCAATTCATTCAATAGCAAATAGAATATCATATTGCTTTGATTTTCGTGGAGAATCTATGACAATCGATACTGCATGTAGTTCATCCTTAAATGCAATACATCTTGGTTGCAAATCTATCAAATACGGCCAATCTGATGTAGTATCTATTGTTGGTGGTGTTAGTTTAATACTTGGTATGTATTTCAGACTAATATTTTATAAAAATTTTCATTAAACTAATATTTTAATTTATTTTTTTTATCAGACCCAAACATATCAAAATCATTAACCCATTTATCAATGTTAAGTCCCACTGGAAAATGCCATACATTCTCATCGGATGCTGATGGATATGTGCGTTCAGGGTGTGTTGGTGTGGTAGTATTGAAGAGTTTAGAACAAGCAATCAAAGATGGTAATAACATTTATTGTGTCATCAAAGGTTCAAGTTCAAATGTAGATGGCAACTATGATAAATCAAACTTTTATTCACCATCAAAATCATCACAATATGAAAATATTAAATCTGCAATCAAATCTACCAATGGTCAAATCAATGCATCTGATATTGATTATTTCGAATGTCATGGTACTGGTACACCAACTGGAGATCCAATAGAACTAGAAGGTATTTCAAGAGTATTTAAAGATACAAACAAACAAGTTTTAATTGGCTCCATTAAATCAAATATCGGTCATGGTGAAGCATCATCAGGTGTAATGGCATTCATCAAATGTTGTGTAATGTATAAAAACCAATCATTTGTTCAAAATATCAACTTTAAATCGCCAAATCCTGATATCAAATTTGAAGAATGGAATTTAAAAGTTGTAACTGAACCAACACCATTTAATAACAATAGTAAAAATACTGTAATTGCTATTAATAACTTTGGTGTTACTGGTATGTATAATAGTTTGTTAAATTAAATTAAAATAATTTTAAATGAATATATTAATAATAATTTTAATATAGGGTCAAATTGCTGTGTTATTTTATCTGAATATTGTATAAAAAAAAGTCAAAACTTAAAAATTATAAATAAAAAGTATTTAATACCATTCTCATCAAACTCATCAATATCACTTGACAAATACAAACAAATTATTATGGATAAATCAGACAAATTAGATTTTAATGAATTTGTAAATAATCAAATCAAATATAAATCAACATCACTCGTTCAAAGATCAGTTATTATTGCAAGTGATTGGGAAGAATTTAAAGATTCAAAAAATGAAATAAAATCATCCAACACAAACACCCTTTCAAATATTGCAGTTAATAGAAACAATCCATTTACAGTATTTATATTATGTGGCCAAGGATCACAATATAATAGAATGGCATTAGAACTATATGAAAATGAAACAATATTCAAACAATGGGTTGATAAATTTGACAGTGAACTATTCAAATACTATGGGCACTCTGTTTTAGAAAAGTTAAGATCTATTGATGATAAAGATATGAAATCAGTACACGCTCATACAATTGCACAGCCATCAAACATTATGATTCAAGTATCATTATTTGAACTATATAAACACTGGGGTATCAAAGCAGATTTAATCGTTGGTCATTCTCTTGGTGAAATATCAGCATCGTATTGCTCTGGTATGATTGACTTTGAAACATTATGTTATTTAGTATACCACAGATCAATTGCTCAAAATAAAACAACTGGTACTGGTAGAATGCTATCTGTAAATATAAGTGCCGAAGAATATATTTCAAATTACTCATCAAAATACCCAACAGTCGACATTGCTTGCTACAACTCACCATCATCAATTGTAATATCTGGTAAAGAGCATTTACTAAATGAAATTGTAGATGATTTAAAATCAAAAGATATATTTTGTGCTATGCTAGGAACATTATCATCACTCCACACATCTTGCCAATTAGTTATTAAAGATGAAATATGCTCAATGAACATTGAATCAAAACAATCAACAACACCTATATTTTCAACAGTCACAACCAACTTATTTAACCACGAAACAACACCATTCAATTCAGAATATGTATTTGAAAATATTTTACAACCGGTAAGATTCACTCAAACCATTTCAAACATATTCAAATATATTGAAGAAAATAACTTTGGAAACGAAGTAACATTTATCGAAGTTGCACCACATCCAACACTATCATTCTATTTAAATCAAATGAAATCAACACAATCACCATATTTCAATAATGGAGAAAAAATAACCATTCATTCACCACTTCATAAAAAGAGAAATGATTATGATGAATTTTTAAAATCAATTTCAACACTTTATGTAAACCACTCATTTAATATTAATTTTAAATCACAAATAGATAACAACCAAGGGATTTCGGTCAATTTCTTACCATTATATCAATGGGATGATAAAATTTATTTTAAAAATAATTCAACATATGAAAAGATCAAAAAAGAAGGACCTTCAATTCAACATCTTGGTAATAAAAATGAATTACCAAATATATCGTATCAAACATTCATTAATACTAAAAAACAACCATTCCAATGGCTAAAAGGACATCAAGTAAAAAATAAATACTACTTCCCAGGGTGTGGATATATCACTAATTTATTCAACATCTACCCAAATCAAGATATTACAATCAGTTCAATCGAATTTAAAACACCATTAATATTACAAGATGATGTCAATCAATGTCTACAAACAACCATTAATACACTTTCAAAAAATTAATTCAATGTCAGATCACACTTTAAAGATATAAATACAAATCAATGGGTATTGTGTTCCGCTGGTAACTTTAGTTTATTCAAACATGGTAACGAAATAAACAGAATCGATATTGAAGAAATAAGAAATAGTTGCAACTTTACCAAACTATCAAAATCAGAGCTATATGATTCAATTAAAATCAAAACCGGATTAACATACAAAGGTTTATTCCAAGGTGTCAAAGAATGCTATGTAGGTGATAACTGTTCTCTATCGATTGTATCATTAAATGAAATTCAAAATCAAAATGAATTCAATCATTTACTCAACAACGATACAATGAAATCATTCTTTAATACTGCAATACTAGATACATGTTTACATGGAATGCTTGGTTTTATCAAACATCAATGCCAAATCGTATTAGATAAAATCGAAGGATTAAAATACTACGCTTCAAACATTCCATCACCAAACAATCAAGAACATTCTGAAATATATGTATATTCTGAAATGAAATCAAGAATCAATGTATACTCATACTCTGGATCCATTAATATAATGTTAAATGATGGGACATTATTAATTGAAATTACAAATGTTATTTGTACATCACTTACACCAATCATTGACAATACCATAATTATCCCACCACCATCCAATGAAATCTATCTACCAATTCAACAATCAAAAGACTCTATCATTAATAAACCACAATCATTCAAACACTTGTGTCAATTAGAAGAATTGGGGGTAGATGAAATTTATCTACATAAAGAAACAAATGAACATTTATTAACATCATTTTACTATCATATTAATCAAAGACGTCCTACTATCAACAAAGAAACATTATCAACAATAGATTATATTCAATTCAAACAACTCTACTATAACGATGAAGTAAATGAAAATTATTTTTTCTTTATTTTCGATATTTTAAAAAAATATAATAGTTTAGGTATCAATAAACAATTGAATGAATTCCCTGACGGCCATAATGATAAACATATTAAGCTTTTAAAAAAAACAACCACAGTTATGGCAAAACAAATATTCCCATTAAAAAATGACGATCCAAACATTGACACCCCTCAATCATTATTTGAAGATAGATTTATAGATCATTTTTATCAAAAATCAAATATACTTAGACCAATAAACAATTTATTAAGTGATATTGTTTCAGAATCAATTAAACCAATTATTAATGAACCAATAGTATTCAGAATCTTAGAATTTGGAGGAGGTGTAGGCTCATTATCAGTTTCGGTATTAAATAAAATCAACAAACTATTAAATGATAATCCTACATCAAATATCGATATAGAATACACATGGAGCGATATTTCAGCATCATTTTTTTCAAACATTAAAGAAAAACTTTCAAAAATCAAAGGTGTCAATATAATCTATCTTCCTCTGGATTTAGACAAGTCATTAAAAAATCAAGATTTAAAAGCATCATACTATGATATGGTTGTAATGTCATTTGTATTACATGTCGTAAAACAACTTAGATTCAGTTTAAATGAAATCCATAATATTTTAACACCAAATGGCCAAATTATATTTATTGAACCACCATTCAAATCATTGTTTACTGATTCAGTATTCGGTGTATTCCCACAATGGTGGCCATCACCAGAAGATATTGACATCAGAAAAGATAGAAGCTGTATGAAACAAGAAAGCTGGTACAAATTACTAAACGAATTTAAATATAAAGATACAACAATATCTGGAAATGATAATACACCCTTTTTAATTCAAACAAGAAAATCAAATATAAACGAAATGTTATTATCAAATATTGAATCATTGAAGCAATTAACATCACACGATAATATTATATTATTTGGAAATAGTAGAGATGGTGCGAAAATCAACAAATCATTCAAATCAAATCAACTTTTAAGTTCAAAAATAATACAAATCGATAACTTTAATGAACTTAATAACTGGATTATTAAATCAATCGATTCCATGAGACAAAGTAAAACATTAATAGTCTTTATGAAAGCAATCGATCCATTAGTTATCAATAATTTTAAAGAAACAACATTCGAATACATTCAAATTAATCAAATGTTACTTCAACATGAAATTGAAAACTTTTTTAAACACGTTTTAATACTATTAAATTCAACATCAAACAACTATTTATCATCATCAATCAATGGAGCAGCAAGATATTTCGCAGAATTCCCACAATTAGATCTTTATTCATTAGATTTCGATAATATTTCGATTCAAAATGAAAATATACTATCGCTTATCGATATATTAATAAATCCAACAACAAATATTCAAAGAGAATTCACAATTAAAAACAACACAGTATATTATGAAAGATACAAAAAGCAAACTAAAATTAAACAATCATATATTTCAAATTCATTCGAAACAAATAAAGATAACTTAATGATTCAACTTGATCCTAATTTAGAATATGTATTAAAAACTAAAAAACAAGAATTAAAACCAAACGAAATCGAAATCGAAGTTAAAGGTACCGGTATCAACTATAAAGACTATCTTATGTATATTGGTCAAGTATCAAATAGTGTTGATCTCAAATATGGCAAAGAGGAAGAAGTTGAAAATGGAGTATATCAAATACCAAATATTGGAAATGACTTCAGTGGTGTTATTACTCGTTGTGGAAACGATGTAAAGAAATTAAAACTTGGTGATGAAGTATTTGGGGTTGTTTCAAAAACTAGTGGATCACATATTATAATGGATTATAGATATGTTTATTTTAAACCATTAAATATCTCACATATTCAAGCAGCATCTATTCCATCAGTTTATACTACCTCATTACACAGTATATTTTATACAGGCAATTTACAAACAGATCAAACCATTCTAATTCATTCAGCATCGGGTGGGGTCGGTCTTTCATCATTGGAACTATTAAAGTGTAAACAGCACAAAGGTTATATATTTTTAACAGTCGGCTCAAAAGAAAAAGAAGAATATTTGATGAATAAATATGGCTCTTTTATTACTGGTATCTATTCATCAAGAAATAAAAACTATGTTCATCAAATTAAAAACAAATTAAAGCAATTACAATGTGACAAAGATCATCAAGGTGTAGATTTAATACTAAACACACTATCATCATAATATATGGATTCAAATTTCCAATGTTTAAATAGCCATGGTAGAATTGTAGATCTTTCAATTACACATTTAACACCAAACGACTATATTACAAACAATCACTTTAAATACAACTATGGATATAACAATATAGAACTTGTTGATTTTTCAGGACCATTGTTTAAAAATTTATTAAAAAAATTATTCAAAATGTTCAATTCAGATAAACTAGAACTAATACCTATTCAAATGATCAATTTAAAGATGCAATCGAATATATTAATGAAAGACAACATATTGGTAAAATCGTTGTAAATCATGATATAGATATGTTATCAAGAGTTTTTAATGAACAAAAACAAAGTGATTCTATTATTATGAAAAACAGTTATGATATATCAAGATTAGACATCGGTAAAAACATTTTAGTAACAGGTCAAACAGGTATTATATTAGAAATAATGAAATGGTTAGTTAAATATACAAACAAATCAATTGATAATATTATAATTTTATCAAAATCACCATTAAAATGGGAATTAGAACTTTTAATCAATCAAACTAAACATCAAAAAGATAATACAATTAATTTCCACTTTAATCAAATCGATATCGAAGATAATAATAAAGTTCATAATGTATTAAACAATCTAGAATCAAACTCAAACATTACTAATATTGATACAGTTATACACTTTGCATTTGTAACTGATATAAGTGATGTTCAAGA